TTGCTCTACAGGCCTCCTTCCACAAGCCACCTCAAGCATGAAAGCCCCAAAAGCAAATACATCCATGCTGGTAGTTGCCTTTCCAGTTCTAATGAGCTCTGGAGCCAAATAACCTACAGTTCCCACAAGGTTAGTGGTTTGCGGATTGCTATCGTGGTCATATAGTTTAGCTAGGCCAAAATCACCTAACCTCCCATTTAGTTCGGCATCCAATAGAACATTACCTGGTTTTATATCTCTATGTAGAACAACTTGTTCCAATTCTTCATGGAGGTAAAGAAGGCCAGAAGCTATTCCTCTAATGACTCGAAATAGCTGAAACCAATTAAGATTTTGATCTGTATTGTTGTGTAATAATTGGTCTAGGCTTCCGTTTGGCATATAATCATAGACCAAAATAAATTCTCCCTTTCACCTGCAATAGCCACGGAGTTGCACCAAGTTCCTATGCCTTAGCCTTCCCATGCTTATTATTTCGACCACAAATTCCTTCATTCCTTGATTCGAACCATGAGAGACTCTCTTGACTGCAATTTGTTCATTAGAAGGAAGGACGCCTCTATAAACCTTTCCAAAACCTCCTTTTCCTATAAGCTCTGTGTCCTTGAAACCTTTGGTTGCTTTGTAGAGATTCTTATTTGAGGACCATATTCCCTTTCCCAGTCTTCATATACTTCTTCATATTTCTTCTTCCATACAATGTAAGCAGCTACAATTAATACTATCAATAACACAGCCACAGCCACTGCTACTACAACCAAAACAATCATCAGTAGTCCTGGTTTCTTACTTGCTTTCCCGTGTGCAGGAACAGGAGGAAGCTTGGAGACATCAAGGTTTTGTGCTTGTCCGCTTCTGTTGAAGCTCCATCCTAGAATATAATGGTCACTTGTAATTTTGCCAGTTGCTGCTGAGAAACCAACATACATAGAGTCCAAGAGTACTTCAAAAAGATTGAGGGGTGTTGACAAGAGAGGTGTTTTTGGTTTTGCAATTCCATTAGGAGAGAGTGTCACATCGAGTAATTTTTAAGCACCATCATAGTCTATCCAAACCTGACACGACCTGCCTCGACCCACCCTACCCCATAAGCTCCGGGCGCACCTATGATACTCGGGCGGCCAAGACGTGCCGTGTGGGAATCTAAAAACCTGTATTCTAAATACGTTTTTCATAAAAACATTCGCTTGGACTCATTTTGAAAGCATAAACACATAAGATATATATATGTATACATTTGAAAATCTGAAAGCTAACTTGTATGTTCATAAAATCCAAAAACGGATGGTATCAGATATTCATATCTTTTATAATCAACANGTTTGGCATATAATCATAGACCAAAATAAATTCTCCCTTTCGCCTGCAATAGCCACGGAGTTGCACCAAGTTCCTATGCCTTAGCCTTCCCATGCTAACAATCTCAGCCACAAATTCCTTCATCCCTTGTTTCGAATCGTGAGAGACTCTCTTGACTGCGATTTGTTCATTAGAAGGAAGGACGCCTCTGTAAACGTTTCCAAAACCTCCTTTTCCAATAAGCTCTCTGTCCTTGAAACCTCTAGTTGCTTTATAGAGATTCTTATAGGGGAACCTTTGAGGGCCATATTCCCTTTCCCAGTCTTCACATACTTCTTCATATTTCTTCTTCCACACAATGTAAGCAGCTACAATGACTACTATAAAAAACACAGCCACCGCTACTACAATCAAAACAATTATCAGTAGTGCAGGTTTCTTACTTGCTTTCCCGTGTGCAGGAACAGGAGGAAGCTTGGAGACATCAATGTTTTGTGCTTGTCCGCTTCCGTTGAAGCTCCATCCTAGAATATAATGGTCACTTGTAATTGTGCCAGTTGCTGCTGAGAAACCGACATACATAGAGTCCAAGAGAAATTCAGAAAGATTGAGGGGCGTTGACAAGAGAGGTCTTTCTGGTTTTGCGATTCGAACAGGAGAGAGAGTCACATTGAGTAATTTTTCAGCACCATCGTAGTCTATCCAAACCTGTATTGGATCTCCACTCATGAGCACTAAGCTTTGGTTCTTCCGTTCTTCATTCGAATAATAAGTTACTGTAGCAGATTCATTAGAAATCAAGCCGTTCACATCAATTCCCACATGGTTTCCATCTATGTCATAAAATGCAGGGTTTTGTACAGTATCAAACTCGATCGCTAAGATGTGGTTTGTAGGCTGGCCATTGTTTTTACGATTGAAAAGTCCCAAATAAGAACCTGCAACAGTGCCAGTAAAGTTCATAGACGGTGAGATGACAAAAGCTATGCCATGGCCTCCCGTATTAACCCATTCTGGAACTATGGCAAAAACAAAATTCGTGGAAAAGGAAAGAGATTCAGGGGAAGATGTGTTCAATTTGAATGGGAATGGATAAAAAGCATGACCAGTTTGCCTCTGAGAAGTGTTGGTTAGCTGCAATAGACCTTTGGGGTGGATTATTGAGATTTCATCCAGTTGTAGATTGGCTTCATGGAAACCATGATTGTAGATTTCATCCAGTTGTAGGTTGTTTCAAATTTCTGAGAGATGAATATTTGTTTAAAGAAAATTGAAATGTTGATCTATGTCTATGATAGTGTAGTCTTGGACTGCAAGAACATAGGAGAAAATATTAACCTGCCAACTCAGGATTTCAATTCAAGGGTCTAAACTGGATTCACATCACTTAATGAATTCCAGAAGAAGTAAAAATTGATCTTCTAACCACCACTGGGTGACCCACTAGTCAAGTAGGGCTCTTGGATGTATTACTTGAGAGATCCTAGGTTCAAACCATTTGGGTTGTTAATAGGGATGACCACTGAGAGAATTTTCCTAGCTGTCAACTTCAGGACCCCAGGGGATTAGTTGAGGTGCACCCAACCTGACTTAGACACCTTGGTCACAAAAAAGAAAAAATTGATCTTCTGCCAACAAATACTAACGACCAATATAAGTCAATTTTGTTATTTTTCATGACTATCCAAGTATATAAACAAATTCAGACCAATTTGTAGATATCCTGTTCTTCAACCACTTGGTTGAAAACAAACCACATCATTGTTATATGCTAATCTCTAGGTTTTTTGGATGTTATTCTAGTATTATTAATTTTAAGGAATCAGGGATGTCAATTGTTATGCCTAAAAAATCAGGCTGATGTAAGCTTACATCAGTGAGTGATGTGACTAAATCAATCCTAGTAAGTGCATTAGTCGTGTTCAAGTAATAAAATGATAAGTTTGAGTATCGTCCCACAGAAATCAAAGCAAATATTCGTAATTACCTAAAGCTGCCTACATGTTATTTGAGAAAATGAAAGTTTAAAGTGTAAAACTAATGAATTAGAAATAACTAAATTAAACAAATAAACAATGTGAAGAACTTTGCAAAATTAATGAAGTTAGGGTGCAAATTTCCTCCTAATTATGCTTGACAACTACTCTTAACCCGTTTGTGCTATGAATTGGTAGGATTCTTTTAAGACCAATTATCCTTATTCAGGAAAAATATTCAACTAAATACAGATCCCTATTCGTTTACTCTAAAATTAATAAGCATAAATTCATCAATCTCTTACAACTAATTCACCCTATTCGGTTATGAATTAGGTGGACCACAAATTAATCCTAGAATCTCTATTCAATTACTTTTAGTTTTAATATGTTGTGCAATGTTATTCCCATAAAACAATTATGAATATGAATTAAGCAATAAACCCTAATTTCCCTATTCGAAACATCATCAAGGCAATTGAATCAATCCAAATTTAAGTCACCACAGTCTAGGCCGTGGTGCTTTCTGGTCTCTTTGTTTTATCTTAATTCCACTACCATGGCCATGGTGAACCACCAAGGCATGACCGTGGCCTTCAAGAATGTTAGATAGTCTCAACTTTTTTGAGCATTAAGTCCCAATTTCATTCCAATGCTCTAATTTACTCAATCAAAGCCTGAAAAATACAAAAGCCATCCAAATCAATAACTAACCATTCATATCTCAAACTTAATAAAAACTAACAACAAAACAAAGAAAAAAATGAGAAATTAACTGAACTAACATCAAAACAACCCTAAAAACACTCAAATTGTGCAACTTATCAGCTAGCACCAATAAGAGATTAAGAAGGCTTTGCGCTATCTAGAATTTGTCACGTCGCCCCAAGATAGAGAGAATACGGTTGTCACCAACTCAGCAAGCTCAAGTTTAGTCTATAAATGAGTAAGGTCCGCACACCTATCTAAGCCCCATATAATTTAATGACATTTCATAAGTTATCAGCCAATAGGATGCAAGGAAGAACTTACCAATAGGATGCAAGGAAGAACTTACCAATAGGATGCAAGGAAGAACTTACACGACACCTATCCACTTGTAAACTTATAATCATTACCTTGAATTTAATGGCTATAAATAGAAGACTCCCTCTCACAAAATCGAGATCTTGGACTTTTATAAAAGCAAATAGTAAAGACAACCTACGAGAAAAAGACTGGCTTAATATTCTCTCTTAATTCCAAGCTCTTGTACTTATGTTTGCAGTTCATGACCTATTGTAACCTAGCTTATAACCAAAAACACTCATATAAAAGAAAATAGTCAATGTAGGAATCACTCTAAGCATTTGAACCACAATAAAATTGTCACTGTCTCATTTATTATTTAGTCTTTGCATGTTACTGTGACCTTAATCCAAATCTCAAGTCAATCACATCTAATTTCTAAGACCTACTTAACACTTTACACATGCGAGGTCATTGATGTCAAAAGCACACATCAACATCAATCATTTAAAATTTATCTCTATTCAAGCCTACATATAATCCATGATAACGGGAATTAGATAGCTCACCACATTTCTTGTTAATCTTGACAGCAATAATTTTGAACCTAGGATCTTGATAGCTGCGTATTTACAGTTTTAGCATGAAGTTTAGGTAGAGTATTGCAAGGCATAAATGAGTCTCCCCAAACTCGATTAACACTCCTTGTCCTTCCCTCTATACAATCTTAATCATGGCCTTCAAAGACACTAGTGTTTTGCTTAAGGAAGGATCCCCTCGTAGTTGTACCATTCGCTCTCCTACTTTGAACTTCATAGTCTGCTTCTTCCAATTAATTCCCGTTTCCCCTAAAGTCTCCAACCACGCCATCCTGAGTACTACATCAGTGCTCCCCATTTCAAAAGAAAAAAAATCTTGAACCACAACCATTCCTTGTAATTCCAGCAGAACCGCTTTACATTCCCCCTGACATGTCACTCGATAACCATCTCCCACTCTGACTCTGAAAGATGGGGTTGTAACCACTAGTAATTCCAACCTACCCACTGCCTCCAAACCAATGAAATTGTGGGAAGCCCCACTATCAATCAACACAATTAATTCTTTACCGTAGGGACTCCCTTTAAGATTCATTGTTTTTGGCCCCTGTATTCCCACCACCGAGCTGATGGATAGCTCCACATGGCTTTGATTTTGTTCAATTGCAACTTCCTCTTTTTCCTCTTCTTCCTGCTGCTCTGGATCATCATGTTCTCCCTCAAGAAAAACAATCTGAAACTGTTTCTCACTGCACCTATGTCCAGGTGAAAATTTTGCATCACATCTATAACATAATCCCTTTTCTCTCTTTCTCTGGATCTCGGATTCTGTCAACCTCCAGAAAGGAAAATCTCGCTGAAAGTTGGAAGATCTAAAGGTGTCTGTTGGAGTTGACGCGTAACTGGAATTGTTCTCGGTGGAAACATGCCTACAATTTGTGTTTTAGGGCTGAATCTTTGTATTGTATATTGAACAACAATGCTACGGACACCAAAAAACTTGCACCAAAAATATGTACTGGCTTACGTATATCAGGCCTCTGATTTTTTTAACAATATAATATGGACGGGAGTCCATGTGAGTGGCTGCGTGTTTTAATTTTTGAAACTTCCCCAAAAATTTTAACCTAAAACGCGACTTTTATTTTATTTTATTTTGATTACAGTAAAGGACGAGCGTCCATAAGGGTGGGACGACCATCCTTTACATAAGGGACGACCGTCCATTAATTATGGACGCCCGTCCACAATAACGGGATGCTAGTCCACCATTTATGGACGGCCGTCCTTTGTTTTATTTTTATTTTTTAAAGCAAAAGAAAGGACGGGCGTCCTTAAGTAATGGACGCCCGTCCATTATTTATGGATGGGCGTCCATAAAAGTTGGACGACCGTCCATAAAGAATGGATGGGCGTCTATTACTTATAAACGCCCGTCCACAATGGTTTTTACTTAAAACGAGATGCATGAGCTTTACTTAAAACGAACTGCATGAGCTTTACTTAAACGAACTGCATGAGCTTTACTTAAACGAACTGCATGAGTTTTGCTTAAAACGAACTGCATGAGCTTTACTTAAACAAACTGCATGAGATGACCTGCATGAGCTGAATATATATTTTTTTTTTTTTTTCATATTTGGGTCAAGGACGGGCGTCCATTATTTGTGGGCGCCCATCCAAAAGTAATGGACGGCCATCCAAAAAGAATGGACGGGCGTCTATTACTTATGGATGCCCGTCCCCAATGGTTTTTACTTAAAACGAGCTGCATGAGCTTTACTTAAAACGAACTGCATGAGCACGAACTGCATGAGCTTTACTTAAACGAACTGCATGAGCACGACCTGCATGAGCTGAATATATATATATATATATTTTTTCATATTTGGGTCAAGGATGGGCGTCCATTATTTGTGGGCGCCCGTCCAAAAGTAATGGACGGCCGTCCATAATGGATGGACGGCCGTCCCTAATGTTTAACAAATTTGTTTAATTGTATTTTATTTAGGGACGGACATACTTTAAATGGGGACACCCGTCCCTTGTAGATGGACCCCCGTCCATATAATATGGACGGGAGTCCATCTGAGTGAACGACCGTCCAAATTTGATGGACAGCCGTTCACTAGAAAAAAATTGTTAAAAAAATCAGAGGCCTGGTACACGTAAGCTGGTACACAATTTCGGTGCAAGTTTTCAGTGTCCGTAGCATTGTTGGTATATTGAATGTGTTTGGGTGGTGCTGGGTTGGGTTATGTGGGTTTGGGTTATGTGTGTTTGGGCTCTTTTTTGTTCTTCCATTCCAGTTGGGTTTAAGTTAAAACGTAGGCCATGACTAATTCCCCCAAATTTTCCTTGTTGGCCCAACCCTCCTTTGGCCTCTTCCAAGATTGAATTTCTTTCTTCCACTCTTTGGGCTAGAACTGAAATTTGAGTTAAAGAATTTGGCCGACCCAAAATTTCTGGTTGCTGGAGCTTCACTTCAGCTTTGATCTCAGGTCGTAACCCATTCAAAAACACTGTAGAAAGCACATCCTCCCTTTCTCCTACTGTCATTGTCGCAATTTCTTCAAACCGCCGGCAATAATCCAACACAGTTCCCATCTGCTTCATTGACATAAGCAGTTCCAGCGGGCTGATTTCTTGTGCACCACTGAATCTCTACAGGAAAGCTACCTTGAACGCAGTCCACGTTAGTCCCGGTGTCCTAGATTCATTCCATTGATACCAATGGAGGGCCTCCCCTTCCATGCACAACGCCGTGGAGAGGACCTTGCTCTCGTAGGCAACTTGATTAAGGGCGAAGTACCTTTCCACATGAAAAACCTAGCCATACGGATCTTCGTCGGAAAAAGTGGGAGTTCTAATTTTCTGCCTCCCCACTCTCATCGGTTTCCTCCTTCGTGGTGGTGATAGCCTCTGTGGTAAGGAGGAGGTGGTGGTGGTGGTGGTTCATCGCGGTGGTTCCCCGTGCCTGAGTTGTTGTCTTCTTCTTGCCCCGTCATCCTCTGACAAGTCTCTTCCTCAACCTTCCGTCATCTTTCTTCTTTTGCTCTATGGTGAGCTTCATCCTGTTCATCCTTACACCTCATCCAGTTTTGCACATCCATCATTATCTCCCTCATGGATGCCACTGTTTCTGTCAACTTAGAAATGTCTCTCTTTACCCCAATAACCTCCTTCTCAACAACATCCATTCTATTTTCCATTCGAGTACTGACCATACCCCGCGGGCAACCTCACTCTAATACCAATTGATAGGATTCAGCAACTCAACAAACCCAACAATGAAATGTAACAGTAAAAAAAAGAAATGTAACAGAAAGTTCAAGAACTGAAGGTTGTATTTGAATTATTCAGACTGTGTATTACACTTTTGGAAATGCAAACAAAAACCAGAATAAAAGCTTACTGCGTACTCAAAATCAAGGACTCAAAATACTCAAACAGATTCAAAGAAAAAAAGATAACTCTGCTGTGCTTCGAGGGCCAGCTGCCTCCCAATAAACCTTGTCTTCTCTTCTGCCTTTCCCTCATGATCTACTGTCTTTTTGTAATGCCCAGTATAACAGAATGTTGTACTGCTCCTCTCCCATATTGCCATCTGTCTAGTATTCCAATAACAGAATGTTGTACTGCTCCTCTCCCATATTGCCATTTGTCTTGTGCTGACTGTCCTCTGTCTTGTTGCCATCTGTCCTGTACTGTTTTGCCAGCCCAGCTTGTGATCCTCTGCCATGCTTCCTTTGCCTATTGTAGACCTGCATTGTATGTGATCTATCACTTTATTTGATATTTAGAATCTCAGTAAGACTTACTTAAACCTGATGAGTTTGTTTAGTTAGTGAATACTAATTTTTATACATATAAAAAAAGAATAAGAATGGAGGCGTTAAACATTCTTTTGTTTTCGTATACTGAACAATCGTTGATATGTATAAATATAACCTGCAATATTATAACAAGAGCCATTGAACTTGTCACATCAGCGTAAATTTCATAGTCTCCTCAACCCAGCAATGAAGCTTTGATTGTTTAAAGAATGTAGGCAAGTCAAACATACAAGTACTCAACTATTGTTAAATGAATAATATATGAAAAAAGTGGAGACTGGTGCAGGAAACTTACTAAATTAATCTAATGCCCTTTGTTTAAACCCTACAACACAGTTATTTCTTGACTCTAAGCCATGTAGTTACAGCATTTTCATGGGTTATATATCACAGCTTGCTATTTTTATAATGATATGGAGACATACACATTCTGGGTTTCTGTTAAAAGCTAAACTAGAGTCGACGTGTATTAGCCAGCAAAACAAGATTATCTTACAGAATAACAAGTCAATACCAGTTTTACAAATTCACAAGTTAGAGAAACAGAGTATTTCAGAATCTTTGAATATTTCTCTCTACCCTCCAACCATAATATGTCCAAAGGACGCAGCTATTGCATAAAACTCTAGATTCAGCGGCCCAGCACGAGGATTGAATCAACAGTGGACAAGGTGTGGGAAGAAATATTTCCAGGCAACGAATCAAATGACAAAACAATATCAGGAGCTTCATACCTCGCTGTTATTGCGCCTATCACAGCGCTATCTGGTGTTATACTTGGCAATTTTGCTTCACCATCCAGATACTGCGTCACCTGCTTCATGCTAGGCCAAGTTTCTGGGTTAGAGTCTGAACAAAAGAGAGCAAGTTTAAGAACCAACTCCATTTGCTCTTCCACATATATACATTCAAATCTAGGGTCACTAACATCTAGAATTGCTCCTCTTTCCAGCAATCAATGACCCAATCAGCCAAATCTATATTCCAGGCTCTATCGGCCTCCTTCCACAAGCAATCTCAAGCATAAAAGCTCCAAAAGGAAATACATCAGTGCTAGTAGTTGCCTTTCCAGTCTTAAGCAGCTCTGGAGCTAGATAACCAACAGTTCCTACCAGGCTGGTGGTTTGTGGATTGCTACCAGGATCATGTAATCTAGCAAGCCCAAAATCTCCCAACTTTCCGTTCAGTTCGGCATCTAAAAACGTTGGCAGCTTTTATGTCTCTATGCAGAACAACCTGTTCCTACTCTTCGTGGAGATAAAGAAGGCCCGAAGCTTCTCCTCTGAGAAGTCACTTACGACACCAAAATTTGAAGTTTCTTCAACTTAAATTTCCGGGTAAAATTAAATAACGTACAATGACTAATAACTCACAGGAAATAAGCTTCAACTATAAGTGATGTACAAAAAATAGGCATGAAAGACAGGTTCCAAAAATATCTAAAGCCCCAAAAGTATAGTGCATCTCTCCTTGGTTCCAAATTCAATTATCAAACAGATGCCCACATTTGTATTCAAGGGAACGAATTCATTGCTTCCTGATGATAGCCACGTCAAGCGTAGGCCCGGCCCCAATAAGTTTTGTCTAAGGAATTTTAACAAATAGTTTTATAGTGTGACATGTCGTATCGAAGGATACGAGCTTCGACTTGGAGGAACATATTCTGACATGTCGTATAGAAGGATCCGAGCTCCGACTTGGAGGCAAGTGGGCCATTGATGCTTTGCACCGAGTATCTTTCTTTGGGGCAAAGATCGATAATCCAAGTCAAATAAGATATAAAGGACAAATCGTCCTTACCAAGGCACAAGAAGTCGTCCTAGAAATGAATGAGATGTCGTTCGCAGCAGTTAAACAAAGACAGCATGTTGTCTTCTAGTAGAACGATGTGTGTTGGCCACTGGCTTTGCATTCTATATTAGCCATTAAACTGGATGTGATTTTTTTTCTTTAAAAAATGCGGGGTACTGAACTGGCGTATCTGAGGGGATGGAAATTTTGTGTAATCCTGAGATGCTGAGATCTAAACCCCAAGATGGTATCATGACTCATGAGGTTAGTATATGATATTAGTTAGAAAAAAGTCATTGTAATGTTACACATCTTAATGGATATTCCAAATTTTGCATTCTAAGTGCTAATTCATATTATAGACAAAGTCACTTCAAATGAGATGTTTAAACCACTGCTTGAGATGTGTAATTTCATTCATATTATTTTCCATGAGTACGCATTTAAAGTGAAAAAACAAAAAGAGAGACAAAGAAAGAAACCACGAGACCTTAACCAAGGCAAAAGAGATTCTTTATGAACAAAAAAGGATCATACATATGAGATTAAACTTACAACTCTTTTATTTGTTTTGTCTTCTGCAGCTTTATGACCCTTGATTAGGCACTTTTCTACTGTTAATGTCAGTTTTTCTGGGCTTGCATGAATCATGGACTAAGTAGTCACCTTTTAGATGAAAGACGTGTACATGAAACTCCAAAACGATGGTTGATTCAACGACCTTCTATGAGAATTGATTCAACAGTTGACATGGTGTGAGAAGAACCCCTTTCCAACAATTCAGAAAAATTCACCAGAACATTAGAAGCTTCATTAGTTGCGGTGAATGCAGCAATCAAAGGGCCATCAGGTGTTATATGTGGTAACATGACATCACCATCCAGATTCTGCATCACCTGCCTCATGCTCGGCCTAGCTGCTGGGTTTGGGTGTGAGCAAAACAGGCCTAGTTTCAGAACTAACTCCATTTGCTCCTCTCCGTAAAGACCTTCCAATCTTGGATCAGCAGCATCAAGAATATTTCCTCTTTTCCAGCAATCAATGACCCAATCAACCAAATTTAGGTTTTCAGGATCTATAGCCATAGGCTTCCTCCCACAAGCTGCCTCAAGCATACAAGCCCCAAAAGCAAACACATCTGTGCTTGTAGTAGCCTTTCCAATCCTAAGAAGCTCTGGAGCCAGATAACCCAAAGTTCCTATCAGGTTTGTGGTTTTTGGAGTGCTACCATGATCATAGAACCTAGCAAGGCCGAAATCCCCTAATTTTCCACTTAAGTCAACATCTAAAAGAATATTACCAGGCTTTATATCTCTATGCAGAACAACTTGCTCCCCATCTTCATGAAGGTAGAGAAGGCCAGAAGCTATTCCTCTGAGAATTCGAAATCGCTGAAACCAATTAAGGCCTGGTCTTGTATCGCTATATAACATTTTATCAAGACTTCCGTGAGACATATAATCATAGACTAATATAAGTTCCTGTCTTCTCCTGCAGTAGCCACGGAGTTGTACCAAGTTCCTATGTCTTAGCCTTCCCATGCTGACTATCTCGGCCACAAATTCTGACATCCCTTGTTTGGAATCATGGGAGACTTTCTTGACTGCAATTTGTTCATTGGAAGAAGGAAGTACACCACGGTAAACCTTACCGAATCCTCCTTCTCCAATAAGCTCTTTGTCATTGAAACCTTTGGTTGCTTTGTAGAGATTCTTATAGGAGAACCTATGAGGACCATATTGTCTTTCCCAGTCTTCACATAATTCTTCGTATTTCTTCTTCTGAAAAATGTAAACTGTTGCACCAGTTGCTATAAGCACAACCACTGCTGCTATGAGGGAAGCAATAATCTTTAAAATTCGTTTTTTTGATCCTCTGACAGGAAGTGAAGGAAGCTTCGTAATATCAAGATTTTGTGCTTGTCCACTTTTGTTGAAACTCCATCCAAGAATATACTGGCCACTTACAAGTTCACCTGTTGATGCAGAAAAACCAACATACATAGAGTCCAAGAAAATTTGAGAAAGATCAATGGAAGTTGACAAGAGGGGCCTGTTTGGTTTCGGGATTCTGATTGGAGAAAGTGTTACATTGAGTAATTTCTCCGTTTCATCGAAGTCAATCCATATCTGCATTGGATTTCCACTTGCTAGCTCCAAGGTTATGTTCTTCACTTCTTCATCGGAAAAATAAGTGGCTGTAGCAGATTCATTAGACTCCAGGTTGTTTACGTCTATTCCCACATGGTTTCCATTTATATCATTATATTCAGCGGATTGTACAGTATCAAGCTCAACGGCCAAAATGTGGTTTGTTGAAAGGCCATAGTTTGAAGAATTGAAGAGTCCCAAATATGAGGTTGGCTTACTTTTGCTTAAGTCCAGGGATGGTGAGATGACAAAAGCCATGCCATGGCCACTATTTTTATTATTAGGATCTGGAACTATTCCAAATACAAAATTGGTTGAAAAAGAAAGAGATTTATAGGATGATACGTTGAACTTGAAGGAAAATGGGTAGAAAGCATGGCCCGTTTGAAGTTGGGTAGCGTTGGTTAACTGCAGTAGACCATTGGAGAGGATTTCTGCCATGCCATCCAGATGCAGCTTGGATTCGCTGAAGCCATGGTAGATGAACTGGTTTTCATCTTGAGCTGAGGTCAAGGAAATCAAGTAGACATTGAAAACTATCCAAAGAAGAAGTGACCTGTGAGCTGCCGCCATTGAGATAAAGAGGTGCTTGCAAGGAGAGACGTTTTGCTTGTTTACTAATCTCTCAACTCTTCAGACTTACTTTTCGTACTCTAAAAGATAATGAAAGGAAAAGGTCAACTTCTGACTTATATGTTTTCCTATCTTATTAAATGGCACAGTGAAAGCTGATATAGTGTCTATCCTCATTATCAGCATAATATCTTACCAGTGAAATGCAGATTCAAAGAAGATAACATAGTATGATATGCATTAATTGGTTATGCATGATGCTTTATTTGATATTTAGAATCTCAGTAATATTTACTTGAACCTTTAGACATTGTTTAGTTAGTTAATACAAGTTTTTATAAATATATTTTATAATAAGAAAGGAGGCGTTAAACATTCTTTTGTTTTCGCCTGCTGAATGATTCTAGAAATTGATGAAAGCCAATACGTCACCGGCAGAAGATAATATTAACTAGTATTTGCAGTAGTCATACACTCAACAATCATTGATATATAAATATAACCTGTAATATTATAACAAGAGCCATGGAACTTGTCACATATTGCTGGCATCAATTTAAATTTCATATTCTCCTCAACCCAGCAATGAAGCTTTCATTTTTTAAAGAATGTAGGCAAGTCAAACATACAAGTAATCAAAAATTTCCACAAAGCTGTAACTGCCATCTTTATTAAACTAATGCATCATTTCCAGGAAATCAGGGCTTTGTACAGTGTCAAACCCAACCCAAAAGACGAGGTTTGCAACAGATGAAAGAAAGAGAACCAAGACTGGAAACTGATGCTCTGTTTTTTATTCAAAAAACAGGGATAAACTTATACAAAACACCCGCCACTGTTTCACCTAATGGAATTACATATTTTGAATTTAAACACAATACACCAACTAATACACGTACAGTCATAGGTAAAATTACATTTAACCACCTAATACACCTGAACACATCACTGAACCAATCCATAACAGTGACCCAAAAACTACTTCTGCATGAACAGTGAGAGACCAAACGGCGGTAAAACATGCGGTTCAAATTTTTCTGCCAACTTCGTCATTTCCAGCATGGTATCACCATTCAACACGTTTAGGGAAAAATATTGTTAAATGAATAATATATGAAAAGAGACAAAAAGTGGAGACTGGTGCGGGAAACTTTCTAAATTAATCCGATGCCCTTTGTTTAAACCCTACAACACAGTTATTTCTTGACTCTAAGCCATGTGGCTACAGCATTTTCATGGGTTATATATCACAGCTTGCTATTTTGATCATGATATGGAGACATACACATTCGGGGTTTCTGTTAAAAGCTAAACCAAACTAGAATAGATGTTTGTTAGCCAGCAAAACAAGATTATCTTACAGAATAACAAGTCAAGTCAATAGCGATACAAGTAGTACCAGTTTTGCAAATTCACAAGTTAGAGAAACAGAGTATTTCGGAATCTTTATTCTCTGTACCCTCCAACCATAATATGTCCAAAGGACGTAGCTATTGCATAAAACTCCTGATTCAGCGGCCCAGCACGAGGATTGAATCAACAGTGGACAAGGTGTGGGAAGAAATACTCAGGCAACGAATCAAATGACAAAACAATATCAGGAACTTCATTCCTCGCTGTTATTGCGCCTATCACAGCGCTCTCTGGTGTTATACTTGGCAATTTTGCTTCACCATCCAGATACTGTGTCACCTGCTTCATGCTAGGCCTAGTTTCTGGGTTAGAGTGTGAACAAAGGAGGCCAAGTTTAAGAACCAACTCCATTTTGCTCGTCCACATACATACCTTCCAATCTAGGGTCACTAACATCTAGAATTGCTCCTCTTTTCCAGCAATCAATGACCCAAGCAGCCAAATCTACCATGCCAGGCTCTATAGGCCTCCTCCCACAAGCACCTCAAGCATAAAAGCTCCGAAAGCAAATACATCAGTGCTAGTAGTTGCCTTTCCAGTCTTAAGCAGCTCTGGAGCTAGATAACCAACAGTTCCTACCAGGCTGGTGGTTTGTGCATTACTAACATGATCATGTAATCTAGCAAGCCCAAAATCTCCTAACTTTCCGTTCAGATCAGCATCTGAAAGAACGTTGGCAGCTTTTATGTCTCTATGCAGAACAACTTGTTCCCACTCTTCATGGAGATAAAGAAGGCCCGAAGCTACTCCTCTGAGAATCCGGAATCTCTGAAACCAATTAAGGTTTGGTTTTGTATCGCCATATAAGATTTTGTCAAGGCTTCCATTAGGCATATAATCATAGACCAATAGAAGTTCCTCCCTACGCCTGCAATAGCCCCGGAGTTGAACCAAATTCCTATGCCTTAGCCTTCTCATGCTCACAGTCTCGGCCACAAATTGCTTCATCCCTTCGTTTGAGTTATGGTTGATTCTCTTGACTGCGATTTGTACATTAGAAGGAAGAACACCTCTGTACACCTGTCCAAAACCTCCTTGTCCAATAACCTCTTTTTCTTTGAAACCTTTGGTTGCTTTGTAGAGCTTCTTATAGGAGAGCCTATGGGGACCATATTCTTTTTCCCAGTCCTCATATACTTCTTCATATTTCTTCTTCCTCACAATGTAAACAGCTCCACCAACTGTTATCAGCACAACCGCTATTGCCACAAGCAAAACAGTAATAGTTCGATCTAGGCCCTCACTGGTTTTCTCAGGTGGAGGAGGAGGAGGAAGCTTTGAAATATCAAGGTTTTGTGCGGGTCCACTTTTGTTGAAGCTCCATCCGAGAATATAGTGATCACTTATCCGCGTACCAGTTGCTGCAGAGAGACCAACATACATAGACTCCAATAGAACTTCGGAGAGATCGAGATGTTTTGAGAGCAGAGACCTGTTTGGTTTTGGAATTTTCAGTGGAGCTATTGTTACATTGAATAATTTTTCTGTTCCATCATAGTCTATCCAAATCTGGATTGGTTTTCCACTTCCTAACTCCAAAGTTTCCTTCTTTTCTTCTTTATTGGAAAAGTAACTTGCTGTAGCAGATTGATTAGAGATGAGGCTGTTCACATCAATTCCAACATGGTTTCCATCTATGTCATAAAATTCAGGGATTTATACAGTATCAAGCTCAACCGCCAAGATGTGGTTAATAGGCTGGCCATTGTTTGTAAGATTGAAGAGACCCAAATATGCACCTGCGACAGCGCCAGTGAAGTTCATAGACGGTGAGATGAAAAAAGCCAAGCCATTGCCTCCAAAATTAACTGCTTTTGAAACCATGGCAAACACGAAAGTTGTGGAAAACGAAAGGGTTTGAGAGAAAGATGAGTTGAATTTGAAAGGAGAAGGGTAGAAAGCATAACCGCTTTCAAGCTCAGAAGTGTTTGTAAGCCGCAATAGACCATTGGGAAGAATCTTTGCCAAGCCACCCAGTTGCAGTTTCGAGTTGTTGAAACCATGGTAGATGAACTGGTTTTCTTCTTTAGCCAAGGCCAAGAACAATGATAAATTGAAGACTACCCACAAATAAAGATATTGAGCTGCAGCCATTTAGAAAATGGATATGCTTTATGTAAAGAAGAGTTTATTCTTTCTGTTTAGTAGTCTTAAGACTCCTAATAGATCAGTTTTCTTGTCTTAGGATACTCTTGCAACTCAAGGTTAAGGCGTTAAGAGAGAGAGAGAGACAGTAATCAAGTTGACCCTGTAAGTTATGGTCAGCTAATTTTTGGAGAAATTGAGAGCAATGAAGAAGAAAGAAATTGAGGAAAATACTGTTCTACTTTTCTTATTACGCTTGACTGCTTATAAACTACAATCATTAACCATACAACTTGCTTGAGTTAACAAATAACTCGAGTTACAATAAAGTCAACAAATCAGCTAACTACCCTACTAATCAAACTACTTATCTGTACAAACTAGCCACAATTAACTGTACAACTCATACAATTAACACCCCCTCTCACGTTGGAGGGTGACAGAGAACCCCTAACTTGTGCAACAATTTGGAGTGAAGAGTGCTACCAAGAGCTTTGGTTAGCAGATCAGCAGGCTGCTCCGAAGAAGGCACATAAGCAGTCTGAATCAAGCCAAGTTTGAGCTGTTCCCAGACAATGTGGCAGTCTATGTCAATATGTTTTGTCCTCTCATGGAACATGGGATTTGAGACAATGTGATTCACAGCCTGATTGTCACAATGAAGTAGGACAGGAATCAACTTTGGAAACCCAAGTTCTATAAGTAATTGCACCAACCACATAACCTCACATACAGTAGAAGCCATCACCCGATACTCAGCTTCAGAAAAGGATTTAGACATAGTTGCTTGTCTCTTAGATTTCCAAGAGATCAAAGACTTACCAAGAAATATACAATAACCTGTAATCGATTTCCTTGTCATGAGGCAAGAGCCCCAATCAGAATCACAAAAGGTCGATAGATTCAAATTGTTTTCAGTAGGAAAAAACAACCCCAAACCTAGAGCTGACTTAATATATTTAACTATCTTAACTGTAGCTCCCATATGAGACTTTTTAGGATGATGCATAAACTGACTGAGTAAGTTGATAGAGTAATACACAAATACAACAGTTTTCCCACCAATCTCTGATAAACACATGGGTCAGAAAGAAGAGGATCATTTGTAGTGGGAAATAAGGCATCATATGCAGTAGAGGTGAGCTTCAAATTTGATTTCATAGGGATTGAAGAAGGCTTAGAACCAGATAAACCAAATTCTGAAATGAGCTCTAATGCATATTTCTTTTGGCATAAATTGATTCCGTTGATAGATCTAGCAACCTCAAAACCCAAAAAATATCTCAACATCCCCAAATCCTTCAATCGAAAATTAGAATGCAACATTTTCTTGGTTTGATTAATCATATCAACATTGTTTTCAGTAAGTACTATATCATCAACATATACTAAGAGTATGACAATACAGGAATCTGCCCTTTTAATGAACAAGGAATAATCTGCCTTAGATTGATTGAACCCTCCAGCAAGAAGAGCTTGTGTAAGCTTAAAGTTCTAGGCTCTAGAAGTTTGCTTCAATCCATAGAGGGATTTTTTAAGCCTACAAACAGTGTGCTGAGTATATCCCTTAGCAACCAACCGAGCCTTATGCCTTTCCAAAGAACCATTAGCCTTGTATTTGAGTTTGTATACCCACTTGCAACCGATAGTAACTTTTCCAGGACGGAGAGGGACTACAGATCAAGTATTATTGAGGTCTAAGGCCTTAATTTCTTGCTCCATAGTAGCCACCCAATTTGGATCCCTAGAAGCCTGAGAAAAACTAGTAGGTTCTACTAATGATTGTTGGGACAAATAGGCTTTGTAAGTAGCTGAAATATGTGTATAAGTAACAAAGTTGGAAATTGGATAAGGAAAGTGGGAAATATGGTTGGCTGAAGGATTGGATAGAGAAGGGCAAATAAAGTCTAAGGTCCACATAGGAGGTTTGGAAACTCTAAAGGATCTCCTAACAGGCTGAGGTAAAGAGTTTATATCAAAAACAGGAGAAGTGGGGGAAGGTATAGCAGGCTAAGCAACTAAAGAAGGAGAAGGTTCTATGATCTGGACAGCATCGGTATGGGAAGGAATTACAAGAGATGAAACTGACTCCAAGTCAAGGAAAGAAGTGTCAACTAGAAAAAGAAGTTGTGATGTTTGAGACCAGGTAAAGGGGAATACAGATTCATAGAAAAGAACATCCCGAGAGACAGTAACAGTATGTGAAGACAGATTGTAAAGCAAATAACCCTTTTGGGTTAGAGAACGTCCTAAGAAAACACAAGGAACAGACCTTGGGGACAGTTTATCCTTAGAAGTAAGGACAGTAGCATAAGCCAAACAGCCAAATACTTTTAAATGATCCAAAATAAGAGGTTTTCCCAAAAAAAAAAAAAAAAAATTGCAAATAGTGATAAACCGTGAAGGACAGATGTAGGAAAACGATTGATAAGGTACACTATTGTTTGGACACAGTATCCCCATAGATGAGTTGGAACATTTGACTGCAATTTTAAGGCCCTAGCTACTTGTAGGATATGCCTATGTTTCCTCTTAACAACTCCATTTTGTTGAAGGGAATAGGCACAAGAACTTTGGTGTACAATGCATTTGCTAGTGAATAAAGCATGATAATCCTTGTTAAAAAATTCAAGGCCATTATTAGTCCTAACACATTTAGGGGTTAAATGGTATTGAGTTTGTACCATTTGAAGGAAATGTTGGATGGTGGCAAAAGAATCAAATTTGAATTGCATTAAGAAAAGCCAAGTAACTCTAAAGTGATCACCTACAACAATGAGGAAATACCTAGCCTTACCATGAGTCAAACATCCATATGCAATATATCAAAAACAGCACTGGATTGGGAATTGCTATGATGTAATACACTGTATAGCTAGTAATTCTTTGAGAAATATAAGATAAAATCCACTAAATAACTTTTATAAACATATATACATAATGTAAAATCCAAAAATTCTAATTTTTAATTCATATAAATATATACACAAAATACTGATATACTTTAGTAAGCACAAGGTAATCTTGAACAATGCACCAAACTCCTCCGCTTCTTGATGTCCCACCTGGTCGTAAATCATCTAGTACCTGCAAAACAGTAAAATAACGGAGTTAGCACTAATTGCTCAGTAAGTAAACCAAACTGCACGACTGTTCTTCCTCCGTTACTCATGTTCTGATTTTTCTTTTCTCACTTTATTCTTTGCTAATATTCTTCATTCCTTTCTACTATTCTGCTTTCTTTTATGATATTCTGCATTCTTTTTTGATACTTTGATTTGATACTTACCAACGTGCAAAGACAATGAATAAAACTGTACATCGTCGAGCACATAAAAATACTGAATCATGTAACTAGCATAATACATATGTAGAATAATAAACTTTCCTGAGAAAAGAACTTTCTTTTCATTTCTGTTGCTGTTTCTCTTATGTTGTATCTCTTTCTTTTCTTCTCTGTTTCTCTTTCTTTTCTTTCTTCTTTCTAGTTTGCAGATCAAACTAGGTTGATGCATGGATTTGGAACCCTGACCATATGAGTGGATACAGTCCTCATCTACATGCACTACTCATGGATTGTACAAATACTGTATCTCTCTACTATGGCCGCTCGCTCGTGGCAACGTACATGTAGGTATACTCTACTGGGTACAGTCCTCATCCACATACACTACTCATGGACTGTACAAATACTGTATCCCTTTGTTGATGCCGCTCGCTCGTGGCGGTGTGTATATGGGCATCTCTGTCACTCACGGGTTCCCCATCGCAAAAACCTTATATCATAGCATGCTGTAGAAGAGAATAGAAAGAGATACTATGCACATTTCAACATGAATTTCCAAGCTACGGAAATTCTACAGTTGCATTCTTTAAAAACATACACTTTCCATTTATGAATATATCATTTCATCATGACAATTTCATGGATGCATAACAAATTCATAGAAACATATCATCCTTAGGCTTGTTTATACATACACAAGCTCATACTTAGGTAATATATAACATATTATACATAGCCTCCATGGTCATTCATTACATCAAATATATATGTTCATACAATCATTAAATAATCACAAAGACCACTCATTCAAACATGCTTCACAACCCTTTAAGCATCATTTTCATACTTGGAATCAATCATAGATTATTGGACCACAAATAAACTAATAAAGTGGAAGCACTTTTGAGATAGTCATTCTACACATATCATATTCAAGAAGGCATATCTTGAGTTATATACATTGGATTGTTATGGTCTTGGTCTCATTTTAAAGCTTAGAGAAAGGGCTACAACTTTTATGTTTAGTTCTCGACCCAATTCAATAGGTAGGATGCCCAAAAATCACTCAGAAAGCCACGGATTTGACAAGGCAACCATGGTAACATGCCTACTTTAAGGCTTTTCCATACCTATTTACCTCCACTTACTCCTTAACCTTTCCTAATCATTCTCCCCTGTGAAAACATGCAATATGTTAAAAACCCATCACACAACTAATTCCATTGATTATCATCGAACTTCAATTCTTGCCTTTCTCTAACCCTTTCTTCATTAGGGTTTAGCCAACTCATGCATGCAATTTCTCTTTGGATTTTCATCAAACACTTCATATGCACGCAACTACCATGTTGGCTACACTTCCACAACTCTCTAATTCAACCAAATTGTGAGCCCAAAACTCACTAATTATAGCATCAAACCTGTCCATTTTCAACAATTCTCTACACTTCAAAAATTTCAACACTAATTCTTCCATAACTTCACTAAATCATCACATAACCATACACTACTTCTCATGGCTGGAAATTACACATCATTAAACATCAAAAACAGCCAATAAATCTCTCATATCATCACATACGAACATGCAACAATTAATTCAACACAAGTCTTGCTCAAATTAAGGTTCAAACTAGGTTTAATTACCTTGAATATGCGAGATCACTTCCCTTTTGCTCTAAATCTCTTCCTCTTGGACCTAGATCATATCAAAACCATAAAA